ATTACATATTTGTTAATAGAACCTTTCATATAATCATACGTACATATATTATTACTAATAATTTTTATCAGTAATAACTGCAATTATGTTAACATACAATTATATAGTCATAAATACCAAAAAAACTTTTCTCTCAGTTAGTCGTTACTTTCTGTGTCTATTAGTTTCTTCATCACATTTTTAATGTCTTGTAATGAATTCGATTGGACGCACTGGTGCGCATTACATATTAAAGCTCGTGTACATTTGATCTGTGAAAAAGTAAAATGCAAATATTCGAATGATAAAATATAGACAATACAAAAAGATAAATATAGTAGGTTAATGAAAGTCAGCAACGATAAACGGCGCAATTATTTAGTGAACAATCAATAATCAGACGTTAGATTAATGTCTTCTTTATTTTGAACATTTCGACTCTCTTCGGAGTCCTCTTCAGCAAGAGAATGATGCAAGTATAATTACCTCACATGTCCATAATGTTTAAGTCACTCGCAAATTGACAAAGATGCAGCGTTGTTAATCTGACATTTTTTTTTTAAATCTTATTAGAGTAATATATGTGTAAACGATTTAAATGACTTACCATCACGGAACATGAAGCATTGCACTGAAGCTTTATCGAACATGTTAAAACTTAAAAAGTAGACATGTTAAAATCAAATATAAAGATCACACATTTTTAGAACACACGTCCGTGTACGACGTGTCACTCAGATATGAATTATTCTCGAAGTAAGAAGTTACACAGTAAACAATAAGCCAAATTTGCAATTATGAAGAGCAAAACACATTATTGTATATTGTTATTAAGTCAAATCGATAAGAATCGTAAGACATTATTGTATAATAATTAAAAACTGTTAAAATTATTGGAATTGTAAAATAAAGAATTACTTAATGAAAAGGAAAAAAAAAAGAAAAAATTCAATGTAAAATCATATTTCTTTAAAATTGTTACATTTTCGTCAACTGATAAAACTTTTGTCAAATTAAATTAATAAACTATAAATTTAAACAAGTTACTATATAAGTCAAGAGAAATTTTCAAGCATCGCAGCATAGGTATGATGCAGTCCTTCTATCTGAACGTATAAATTAAGGCCATTCCTTTACGTATGAATGTCATTTCCAAAATCAATCTTTTGTTCCAAAATTTCTTTTTGTCTGAAATTGGGATGTTCTCTCAATCGAAATCATGTGAAAATTCAATATGTTCAGATATTCTGGAAAGTTTCCTGCATGTTTGTCCCACGTAAGATTCATGTTCCGTGATGGTAAGTCATTTAAATTGTTTACGTATATATTATTCTAATAAGATTTGTTTAAAAAAAAAAAATGTCAGATTAACAACATTGCATCTTTGTCAATTTGCGAGTGACTTAAACATTATGGACATGTGAGCTAATTATATTTGTATCATTCTTACTGAAGAGGACTCCAAAGAGAGTCGAAACGTTCATAATCTAACGTTTGATTATTGATTGTTCACTAAATAATTGCGCCGTTTATCGTTGCTGACTCTCATTAACCTATATTTATTTTTTGTATTAAAATTCGAGAATCCTAATATAATTATTGTTATTGATAAAATGTAGATTTTACTTAACAGCACAATAAAATGTATTGAGGTTTAATCCGTTTTTATTATATTTATATTAAACACATCTTTAAGTTAATTTGTATACGACGGCTTTAATATGTACTAGTTCGAAACTGTATATGTTTGAATTAGTTCTTAGAACAACAGGCATTAATATTTATTTTAACTTACGCTTATAAATGATAAGACCAGTCGATGTACTAGAGTAATTATTCCAATTGCGTCGCGATTCCAATTGTGGAATCGAAGATTCACGAAATGATATAAATGTAGCTCTGGATCAGTTTCACACGTACACTTTCTTCTCATGTTGTAATGAATTATAATTTTTAGTTTTCTGATATCTGTTTATGTGAACGTCATCGAGACGGGAGACTCATTTTCTATAATTCTAGTATAAGAAAATGCATTTTAGCGACGCACGCACGCACGTACGCACGCACGCGCGCACGCACGCGTGTGCGTGTATGCGAACGATTGTTCCGCAAAGAAGATGAGTCTGTATTCACTGTATTGGCATCATCCAATTTTACGGTAACGATTATATATAAATATAAAAGGCATAATATAACTGCAACTGATCTCGCCTGGAGACGGTAACAGAGAAGTTAATTAAAATCGCCGTCAATTCTGCCTTGCCGCGCGTCGTCGCTCGCGCACGTGACGCGATTTGACAATGAGCCACGTCGCGTCGAGAGAGGGACGTTGGATCTTCGGGCTCCGTCGCGCGACTGTAAAAGATCCGTTTGTTTATTTCCACGTGGCACAATACTTAACATACAACATTTCTATGATGCCCGCGCGCGGGATGATGACGAGCACGACGACAAGCGGGCGGACGGTGGTGTGCGTCGCGTGTTTTGTTTGCGCGTTTTCTTTTGTCGCGTGTATGTCCAGCTGCGCGCTGAGAACGCGGCCGGCTCATGCAAATGCACGACACACAATGTGCCTCAATAGCCTCCACGTATTTATGCTATATGCTATCCGGTTCAGTATTTTCCACGCGACTGTTTATTTCTGTGCCTCGTACACGGAGAATACGCGAGGCTCTCTTTTTAGAAAAAGGGTGGAAAAAAGGAGGACCGAAGAGGGAGAAAAAAAGAGAGAAAGCCTTGCGCGCGCGCGCGCGCGCGCGTGTGTGTGTGTGTGTGTGTGTGTGTGTGTGCAAGCAGGTTCTCCTTTTTCCTCTTTTTTTCTTTCTAGGCCATACAAGACTCGCATGGGCGAATGAATTTCACAGGGCCTTGAATTTCAGCGGATCTAAGGATCCTATGAGTATCCTCTACAGGGAGAATAGTGGTCTCACTTCTTTCTCACGAAGGAAAAGCAAGTTCCATCGATCGCGACGATCGTTACGTCGTATCACCTCACCATTCTATGCACGTCGCGCATGGAAACAAACGGAGTTACATTTTGTAATTACACCCCTTGGATTGGTACCGACTTCGCATAGTAATCGATCACGCGTTCTTGCGGCTCGTTTCAAAATTTACGACTTTAAAGTCTCCGGGACGTTGCGCATTATTTAACGGCGATTGAAGATTTGTTCCTATTTTCTTCGAGATTTAGTAATTGTTGTCCTCACTTTTTCAGTGAGCTTAATACGAAGATATTATCGTAAATGTCATTTGAAATTTTTCTACAAGCTTAGAAATACAAAGAGACACTATACATGAAATTAAATAAAAAGGACATTATGTTATATAATCTCCCTTTTTTTATTTAATTTTGTCGCCTATGCTTGAATTCACGTAAAATATTGAACGCATTTCTGCGTAACGCACACGAACGAACGGAAATTTGGCTAACTATACCGTGCCAAAATAATTTCGGTCATATTCCACGTTGATTTGTACACATAAATCATTATGGTTATATAATTACGATTTTGGCTAACTTCCGAACTTCAGATATAGTCAATCTTTTTATATAATTCAAATGTGGACTTCTTCATTAGAATAATAATCAAATAGTAGATTTTGCTCTAATAAGATTTTATTGACATACATTTATAATAAACGTTATATTGTTCCGTTAAGAAAAATTGTAGTTACGGCAATATTAAAAATCTGTTCACGCTATCGCTCAAAAAAAGTCGAAAACGACCAAAGCGTGCCGTGTATATATTTTAATAAAGCTGGCAACATGCGATGTCTCGTTTTTTACAGCGAAAAACGCGATTTAAAATAACGGCAATGTAAATAAAACTTTACATCATAAAATACGGAACATAAAATATCACCAGTATCAATAGTATATAAAATACTCCATTATATGACATTTAGTAAAATATCATATTTAAATTATACGCTCGCTCGTGTGTCCTTGCGTTACGGATCTTTGAGGTCTTTTTGAAAAATCGACGAGCGCTCTTTATTCCTCGGACAACGGGCGAAATGCCAGTGTCACCTCACGAGGAAAATGAATATTAATATAAGCACTTGGTGGTCGACCGTGCGATTTTCTCGACGAGGCAACGAATAATATAATAGCTGGTCCGCGGGAGATGCGTCTGCGACCGAGAGGGCGAAGCACCCGAAGACGAAGTGTTCTCATTATACCCGGTGATTTATGTGCGTGCCACCTTGCCGTCGGAAGAGATTCTAGGTTAGAAATAAAGTTAAAAGAAAAATAAGGCTTACGGGGTGCAAAGTCGAGAAAGTGTGGAGGGGGGGAGCCGCGGCTCGCGGAATATATTACAAAAATAAGCTCGCTGGCGAGCGGCGTGCGGAAAAGCGCCGAAAAAACTTTGAAACTCCTTGGAGGAGCCTTGAAAGATCGATGCCCCTCGACCTGCCCTGCCGTGTAACTTTTCTTGTTTATCGAGGCGCGAGAAATAAAAATCCGACGGTCACGATTCGCGCAACCATGCAAATAACTTCGCGTATTTCGTGAAGCTCATTGCTAACAAAATTTTTTTTTTAAGGAAAGAATAGAGAGGGAAACAACTTTGAATTCAGTCGTATCTTGAAGACAGATCGAATGTGACTAATTAATTAGCATTTCTTGCGATGGTAACGTGTCAGATATTTTTTGCTCATTTGCGGTTCTTTCAGAGTTAATATATCAGATTCTTATCAGAGAAAAAGAAATAAAGAGTAAAAAAACGACGAGCGTTTCTAACAGTTTAACAACGCTAATTTTATTCGTTTAAGCTCTTTATTTATGTACTCATATTGCGTGTATCTCTTTGTATTTGTTTCATATAATGTTTTATGTAAAATAAATGGCTGAATACAATATGATTACGTCACGAATGGTATATGTTTATTTGAATTTTTATATCAATCAAATATATACAGAAGTGTATATTCTGTTTTACCGCTTTTTCTCCTGCTGTTGTTCGTTGATGCAACGTACTATTATGTATAATAATTGTAATATCGATTTGTTTTAGGGACACATTGGTGAAAATCCGTTTGATAACGGTTCGTGGGGAAAGGAGCATTTTCAGCCATCGACAGTTCCCTGGCAGCTGAATCCGCGCAGTCACGGTCGTCCTAGTGTGAGTGTCTTTATTCTTTTTTACCTCATCTAACTTATTGCGCCAACAGCATCGATTTCAGACAATATTTTTATATTAAACAGTAAAAATTAATTCGATCTACAATTCCACTGAAACTACTACTGCTGACAAAATACGAATTTTTCGTATAAAATAAAAACTTACCTTAGACTTATTTTTTTTCACTTCAATCGGTCGCATATTTGGCGTAATGCGATTTAGAGATTATCGGCCGTAATTCTCAGCTCGCGAGGGTAGATGCGTCAAATTTATAATACCAGCGGGTAAGAGTACTCGCGTCGAGGATGTGGAAGGAAGGATGGGAACGGGAAAAGAAATCCGGCGGCTCATTGTGTCGGCAGGTAGCAAAAATGCTGGCGGGCTCGCCGCTTTCTCGAGCGTTTTCTCTCAGGAGTCGTCGTCGGCTACTACTATATCGTCATACCCCTCCTCGGGAGCTTCCACCCTTCGGACCGTAGCCGACCACCCTCTTACGCTCGCGCTCACTCTCCCGCACCACTCGTCCTGTCACCCGGTATTTATAATACGCTTTGTTTTCCCTCAGCTATTTGTCTTGGGTTCTCGGCTCCTTCGCTAACATTATTATCCCGCGTTTTATTTTTATTTAATTCCGTCGTGTCGAGTCCCCCCCTCCCTCCCCGATGTCCCCGTTATTTATCCTTCGTAGAGCGACTTAACGAGCGACTTAACGTGTCGTTGAATCAGGACAGTTCTTTACGTTTGATTATTCACCTGGCATTCTAATTCTCTTTGTGCGAGATGCATTGTCCTGTTGTATATAACAAATCTAGGATCGCGTTTAGGGTTAGATTATCATTAGAGATTATATTATAGGTTTTCGTAAGAGTACGTGTCTTATGACGAACATTTCTTGCGTATACGAAGTTTCACGTGTCATTGTGTATGACTCACAAAGCTCGCGGTAATCTTCATTCGAGATCTAAACTGTTTGATGATGTGCCAATATTCGCGTCATAATACGTGCAGGCCGTAGCAATTATTTTAACGTCTGTTAATTTGCTTATTGCCTGTCCTCTATCAATCACGTGCGCGAGCCTTCTTTTTAGAATGTAAATTGCACAAGATTATTTGTTATTCAATACTGATTTTTACATGATCTTTTATACGCTCATTGCTGTTATCATAAATAAAGACTTATATATTTTTGTAGCGTGCACTGAATGAAAAAAATTAATGCGCACATACGTTTGTGCACCGAGTTTGCTTATTAAGCTCACATTTAAAACATTCGAAAAGTATTGCTATTTATTTCAGATGTAGATTTTTTTCAATAAAGTGCGTATGAGAATTAATTTTCTCAACTTATTGTAACATATCTAATATTTTATATGCAAAAGTATTTAGTGCAATGAGAACCCTTAAGAATTTAAAATTTAAAGTCAAATTGATATAAACAGCAAGAGAATAATAAAACACAAAATATAATATAACGAAAAGTATTGCTATTTATTTACTGTAAATTTTCCGAATAATGTGAATATGATAATTGATTTTCTTAATTTACTATAACATTTAATATCTAATATTTTCGCTGCAAAAGTGTTTGGTGCAATAAGTATCCACTTAAAACGCGAAGTATAATAAAATTTATAATATAATATAAAAAACATAAAATATCTGGAAAATATTGTTATTTATTCCAACTGTATAACTGTAATTTCTGAATAACGTGTGTGTAAGAATTGTATTAAAAAATTTATTATAACATAATATTTTGGGCGCAAGTGTTTAAGTACTTTAAGAATGCAAAGTCAAATTTATATAATTGGCAAGAGAATATTACATTAATCTGATATTGTGGACGATATACGTGAAAAAATCCAATAAGCCACGAATATCCGTGATTCCTAGTAATAGTTGTACTTCGACGAATGACACACTTTGTTGTTTACTTAAGGAGAATTAAACGCTCGCGACTGTCACGCGCACGTGTGCAATCGACGCTTGTCTTCCTGATACCATCGTATCGGGCGCGATCGTTTGCAAAGTAACAAAAGCAACCGAAACCACTGACGTCAGCGTTTCCGCGAGCGTATATACGCGAACGATGATCTCATGCGTGCATATACGTACGTATGTGTGCGCTTACCTAACCGCGGCGCAATTCCTTTTACGCCGCTCGCATGTCGTACGCACGAATTGCGCTATCGCGTATATGTCTACGTGACAACGCTACGATGCGGTTACGCTCGCTTGCTGTAACCACATATGCATTTGTCAGCATCTCGAGTAATACGCAGTGATATATGTATCACCTCTACCGGTTCTCTTTCTTTCCTAAGCGCGCGCGGGCTCGCGCGTTTGCCAATCTTATCAGCTTAAAATCAAATCTTGCATGAGACTTTCGCGCTGCGAGGCACGAAGTGTCCCGCTTTTGACTTTAGATTGCACGAAGGAGATTTGCAGGAATTAAAAGAATAGATGTCAAAGAAGGGATACTCAACTACTGTTTTAATATGAATTATCTCCGTTTCACCAGGAATATATTTTTATTCGTTTTTAAATTGTCAACGCTGATCAAGATCAAAGAATTTAGAGAAGATACCATATAGAGAATGGAGTAAATACTACACTTAAATATATATTAGAAATTGTATACGCTAATAAGAACTACGATGTTTTGCTCTCAGTAACATTTTCATATTAATAATTATGTATTTAAAATAATAAAGAGATTTGAAGAAATTTTTAACTTGAATATTAAATTGAATGTTACAGACTGTGTATTTATTTCCTGATTTCGTTATTTGTGCATTAAAAGGAATTAAATTAGCATCTCTCTTCAATTCAATATTTTAGAGAAAGCTACGATTCGAGCTATAAATGACAACTTCATGGGAATGCACCGTCTATTCTTATATTACGTCTATAGATACCATGGAAAGGTAGCGAAATTTATAAATGATACGGTAGAGTAGAGAGAAGAGTAGTGTCTCAAGCAGAATAAACTACGCTATAATACATTTTCTTAATAGTAATAATTTCTTGATAATAATTAAAGTTTTCAGTAATTTTGCGTTATGATATTTTGCCCTTTGCGAATTTGCATAATCGGCCCGCGAAATTTCAAGCTTACAGCGCCGAGCGAGCATTCCGCGCGTCTCAATACAGCCAAAATTTCCGGCGGAAGAACGTTGATTCTCTCACACCATCCCCATAATCTCGGGCCACGCCTGTAGTAATATGAATCGCAGCAAAAATCAGAACGGGGGTGGCTCTTAGAGCGTCCCCGCGGCAGCCCCTGGGTTTTAAGATATGCAGAGCACAACGCACGCTTTCCTAGCGAGACTATTTTAATACGAATGAGGGTGGGAGGATCAGACGAGAAGCGCAATGGTATGGCGGCCGGCTCGGAAGATCTACTTCTTGATTACAGAACTTTTTACCTAATTACATAACATTGTTACCATTTACAAAGTCGCGTCGAGTCTGCGCCGGCTGACTACTAATTAGAATCCTCGATTAGCACCCGCGGCGACATCGTATTCCATTTCGATAAGTCTCGCGACATTTTACCGGTTTTCATAATAAAAGGGTTGCGAGAGACTGCGTGATAGGGTGATTTTTAATGTTGCCGCGCAAATGCTAATAATATATAATTGAATGTGTCTTGTTTAAAGTATATAATGTTCTTCGTAAGACTAGTAAAGATGCAAGATAGTGAACATTATTTCGGATAATGTTAAGTTTGACAGAATTATATCAAGTCGTGTAAAACTTATTTGAAACAGTCTATATTGCAATTATTTAATTTATAATTTACAATCTTTCGCACAATTTTCGATCGAACATTGCGAGATATTCTTGTAACTAATCTTTTCATCTGTATCCTGCCAGTGAGACGTTTATTTTTACAAGAAAGTGGAGTCGCAAACTATGTATATGTGACACATGACTGACGAACTACTTTGGTAGATAAAAATTTGAATCTCATTTTTCAGACGTTCGCAAATAATTAGATATACCGAATCGTACCAGACTAGCGCGTTGGAACTCGCGATATCAAAGGTTCAAAAAGAGTCGAATTTATCCCCGAGACTTAAGGTTCTTATCGGAAAGATGTAAGGGTCGTAGAGATAGTCATGCACGAGGGACGAGCTCCCGACGATGCAGACATTAAGACGTCTGGTCCTCGACCTCCAGCTTTCCGCCCCGCGCCAACCCCTTAGCGAGCGCGACCCCCTTTAGACGATGGGAGGTTTACCCCGTCTTCATTGTCCTCTAATTCTCATCTGATCCTCACATTACGTAATTTTCTCTTTATTATTTTATAATTCCCGGGTCTCGAGCCCCGGGCCCGCGTTCATCCGACTTCAGGTCCGCACGAACTCATCCCCCGCAACGCATACTAATGCACCCTGCATTTATTAATTATTCCGTGCTAGTTACTTCGGCTTCTCGTCTCGCCGTCGCAATGATAGATTAAACCACCTAGATTCGGAAGCTCGCGATGCGAATCCCGCTCGTCACCGTGATGATACGTGCTTGGAAATTTTTTCCTTTCGCGAATCGATACAGTATATACGCTTCTTTTCAGTCATGCGCGACTATTCCTGTTACGTATTACGAATAATAAACGATGTGGATTCTATCGAACATTGTTAATTGTTTTTCTTAAAATTAGAAAATGATACATATATATTATTTACAATTTCGTTATTATGTTTCGAAATTTTCCTAATGTTATTTTAATCGTGAAACTGTGAAGAATATATTTTACTCATTTGCTGTAATAAAACACAACAAAAATTTTTTCACGATACAACAAACGCATTCAAAAAATGGCTATTTTATGGAAAAATAACAAAAGTATAATGAATTTTTTAGAATTTTTAAGTTTTTAAGTTTTTAAGAAGTGTAAAAATTTAAGAAGTGCAAAAAAATTTTTTCAGATTTTTAAACTTTGTTTTTTTTATTTTCCCTAAAGTAGAGAAACTTACTTTTGGACTAACCCTCGT